AACACATAATAACTTTATTAATTAAAATTATATTATTAATAGTGTAAACGAACTTGACAAATAATTTCATTTAACGAAAGTTTTCTTAGGTGCAAATATGTCGAACAATGTATGAATTTTCTATAGCCGATAAAAAATAAGAAGAAACAATAAAAAGGGACGAGTACACGAAGAAACTTTATAACACTAGTAAATGTTCATTTTGTGTCAAAGTCTTTCTATGAGCACGACCAGCTGACAAAAACTTTTGTATTTTCCCACGTTCAGCAATGGCAATGTTAATATATATCTTTTCTGTAACGGATCAACGTTACAGTAGATAATCAATATTTATAAGTTAAATAAACTAATATAAAATTAATAATTCGGTTCTAAACTATTTGTTTAAGTATTTTAATATTTAATTTATTGTATTCATAATTAAACCTAAATTTAAATAAAATTAAATAATTTTTTCTGTCGATAAATATTTTAATTAGCCTTTGTTCAATATCGGTAATGTTCATTATGAACTACAAATAATTGAAAAATCGAACTAATATATTGATAAGATAATGGTGCCTAAAATAAATCAACTTTTAAAATAAAAAAATCGATATTTTTAATATAAATAACTTATGTTTTAACCGAAATTCATAATTAATATAACAACCCACCTTTAACCACGAGAACAATACCGAAAACTTGTAATTAAATAGCCTAAAATCTTTAGGTTTCATAATATTTTATAAATGGCCACATGTCAAAACAATGAGGATCGATGACACGCAACTACCGTCTCTTTAATTATTCGATTGTCAAACTACAGTAGCTAACATGATGTAATTAAGTTTTAAAACTCGAGTAGTCTGTAAAACAAACAGTATAACGATCGAAGACAAACATTTTACCTAATTTTATACCAATACTTGTTGAATTGAACATTTTGTCCATCATGTGTAGACCTTCATACCTAAAGTATGAAGCTCTATACGCAGTACTCACAGAAATTTTAAAACATATTAAGCCATGTTCGGAGTTGTGTGAAATAAAATAAACTCGACGTATTAATCCAGCGGATAAAATCTTCGAGTAATGAATCTTTTTCAAGGCTGACGCAGAGGGTCGCTGAGCAATAATAGCTACCGCCTCCTTCCGTCACTGCCACTGTTGGTCCAATTAATAGGGGACGTTTTGTGAAATTGATAGGGCGAGTACGGAGTTCCGGAGCTTTGAACTCGGCAACAGTACAGATAAGCCATGCGCTCCGAATGACAGACACCCCCAACCAATATTCTCATCCGATTTAGTCTGAAGCATAATAATCTACGTAAAAGCCCACACGAGGCAAAATATAAGGACGAGGAAAAAAACGAAGCTAATAAAATAAATATTCACGGGTCGATAGACAATTTTTTTAAATTAAGGCTGCTGACTATACTAATTGGTATAGGTAGGATGTTTTTTCATCTTTCATTTACAATAAAATACTACGTTTCGAAAAAGAGACGATTTGGTGTATTAAATTCTTCAAATGATAAGCTGCCGTCCACTATTTCATAAAAGATTCACAAAGAAATTGAAAAAAAAACCGAAAACTATTTTCAAGTAATATTATGCAATTGATTTATAAATAAATGTAATTATAAAGAATAAAATTAAAAAAAAAATTATTTTTTAACACTGTCGTTTTCATCGAAAGTTTGTCGTTTTAGGGTTAGCTCATCGACACGAGACGGAAATGAACAAAATATTTACTATAACATTTACCTTGGTTACCAATACAACGTTATCGTTATCATCGCACGTTTCTCATTTAAAATGATTTGACCGCCATAATATTCTCGTTATTAACAGACCACTCGTTTCGAAGTTACTATTACAGACGGGAAACTATTATGTTATCACAAAAGCTTGACTTCAGATCAACTTATTATCCAACCTGTCGTAGTTAATAAACCAAATGAGTTCACAACACGAGTAACATTTTAGTTTTAGAATGAATGGCTCACATAACAATAGAAATTATTGTTACAATAAATAATAATCATGTACATACGACATAAATATGTTAAAAAAGCAATGATAACTCTACGTTTTTTTACCTGAACCGTTATTCATGTCACTGTGACCAATTATTTTTTCGTACAATTGCGCTATAAGAAGATGAACTCTTGATTCCGCCAACGATTCAAACAAACCGCTAGAGCACTAAATATTTTTTGTCATCGCGGACGGCCACTATCATTTGATTATATCTTCGATTGAAGTGTAGCTCGTTTCCTATTCTGATAAATCATCATGTATAGATGGGGTTACTTGCATGGAGGGCGTCGGCGAAATTCGAGAGGGTGAGAGGAACACTGTGTGAAAACAAACCGGTGCAAAACACGTATGCCATAAAATTTACAACGCCTCCGCACTACAAGGGACTGTTGTTTCGTTTATTACAGACTACAGTTTCTGGTGATTTATAGTAAACGTGTTTTGCGTCGCCTACACGCATCTATACAGTCGCCATTTGAATTAACGCCGAAGAGGGTTTAAAAGCACACACTACATCGACTTGAGAGAGCCCCGTGATTGGAATGCCACTTTTATATCCTTGGAAATCGGTCTTCCGGAATTATTAATGTAGTCTCGGGGTTTGAAACATTTTCGACGACGAAATGTGTTTGCGAGAAATAATTTAAAATATTCCACGAATTAAGGTAAGCCCAGTGAGTAAAAAAAACTGTTCTCGTGATAGTAAAAAGAAAACTCATGACGTCAGTAACACAATCGTAAAAGCGACAAACGTTATTGTTTAATGTTATCGATATAAGTGTTTTATTTTCTTTACTGTTATATAAAAATTATAAACATAGTTTTAATTACGACACTAGGTCTGCCAAATGAGTGTAAGGTCACAATTGTTGTTGTGAATACAAGAGAACAGAAAACAGGTTAAAAATATCTCAATGGATAATATTAATAACGCGGTCGTTATCAGCAATATTTCATGTATAAATAAATAGTAGAAAAGAAGGGAAGAGTGAGCTCGTTGAAACTTTTTCGCCGCTTCGTTGAAATAACCGACAAAAGTAGTGAAAACTTGTACCGAGGAAAATGATTGCGCAATAAAAACGCCTGGTAGTGTTATTTTCTCTATGATAGTCGTTTATATCCCTTTAAAAACAATTAAAACTAATTACAATGTGTAGAACAATATATAATTATTATATATTTGCTCGAATGCTGAGTACTTTATGCTCGATTTTCAAATACTTAAAATTACTACGAGAACAACGGCATTGTAATTAATAAAGTTCGTCTTCCTCGAGCACACGATAACGACAAAGCTCAGCTTTATTATTTCCTATTAGTTTACGAATGACGGGCTAGAAATTTCCAGTGTATTGAAAGTAACTCGGTTACGAAATATGTGATGATTGTTTTTATTGTTGAAAACAAAATGAAATTTCCCTATTTATAAATAAGTTTCAAGATCATAAAATTTAATTTGTTTAACATTTAGAGCTACATGAATGTGAGATAATTAAAAAACTATGTGACTCGTGACAACAACAAAAAAAAAACGTGATTTATTAAGCTAAAATACTTTGAGTAATCAGTTTTTTTATAAAGTTTTTAAAAAACCATGTTGATTGTTTAACTTCTATAAACACAAATAATTTTCTTGCCCAATTAGAGCCAATTACTAAAAATTATAATTTCAAATCGAAGACAGGTAATATTCTCTCCCTAATAAATGATTACACGTTATTTTTTGTCGACTTGTACATTAGGTAAATGCTATCCCTCTTTTCATTATTTGTTCTGATTTCCCTTGTGTTTGTATACACATAGCTAGTTTTTTTTAATACTACCGGTAATTTAATTGATTTGTTACTTGCTTCATACTAAAATTAAACCTTTTTGCGCAAAAATTATAATAATTGACTAAAGCGATGAAATACATAAGGTCAGCACATCTCTGCATATTATTATTTTACATCAATTATCCCTAATTGATGGACACTGGTCAATGTATAAATGAAAACTTTGAAAGGTTTTTAATATTAATGTTACATTTTTTTTTGTATATTCAACCCTCCGTCGTTCTTTTATTTCCACCTCTCATTTTATAATAAGTTTCAAACCATTATTAATATTATATTTTGAAGATAGTCCACACGTTAATCACGTTGAAAGCATTAAGGGTAATAAGTTACTTCGACTTTATACACGTATAAATCAACCGAAAGCGCTTCAGACTATTTGTTATCTATCAATATGATTGATTAATTCGAAAATACTTTCTATAAAAGTGTTTGAAATAGTAGTAGTAATTACATATTACAACAACTACTATTCTGTCTATTAGCTAACAAAATTTCAAAATTGATATTAAATTATTTTGAATAAAATTTAACTGCTTATAAATATTAGCCATTGGCCAAATCTTTCATTATTTTTACGACCTCTTGAGCAAAACAATTTGTTTTGATAACAGGTATTGTTGGACATGTATTTAAGGTTGTTTTCCCTGTTTGCTGCTCTTAGCATGTCCCAAGAGACTCTTCCCGTACTCTATCTATCCAATACTTTACTTCTAGTTTCACCACGACTTTTAAACGCACATAAATCTCAGTAGCTAATTTTGAAAAACGATCTACTTCCGCAAATGTAAAGAACGAAAGAAAAAGCTAAGAAAGTGTACTAAAATAAAAAAAAATGTATAAAGTCAAAATGACGAACTATTGTGCACAGTAAAATAATTTTTCTTAATGTTTCTTTGTCAAATCTCTTATTTCTACTTAGAGGAGTAGTTTTTAATAATTAAGGATACTATAAAGACACCCAAAGTAAATTCGAAGCTTTTAAGATATTGTGTTGCCTATGTGTTTTTTCTAAAGATTAAATTCTTTAACTTTGTTGTCCTAGGTGCAATCACAGACTTTTTTTTTAAAACTTCACAACACAAACTATTAACTTGATAAATTAAATAGTATATTTAATTATCAAGTTATAAAACTTACCGTCGTGTAACTGAAGGGTAGCGTCTCTAGCGAATGCCAACTCAGAATCAGTAAGTGTAGCGTCCGAACAATTTCCGGATGTACCACTTGTGTCAGTAGTCAGCAGAGAACCAGGTTGCTGGTAAGTGTGGTTGTTTGGTCTTCTACGATGACTTCTGTGGTATGAATGATGGTGATGAGACTGCTGTTGATTGTGTGGTAGGCTGTGGCCTGGTTGATACTCTGCAGTGTCTTCGTCACATTCCCCGTCACTGCTATCACCGCGATGTTGGTACGGTTGGTATGCTCTATTCGCTTTTCCTATCAACAAAAAAGTCGGTTTATTACTTAAGTACTAATATTAACTACATTATTTTATACTGATTCGCGAAATTGAATCTCACAGAAATGTAAGACCAAAACCAACACAGAATTAACATTAACAATTACTAGTCTTAGATTAGTTTATATTTAAAAACGCTCTTAAATATACACCCTTTAAACCTTTTTAAGTAAGAAAGTTCAACAAAAGTTTTTTTTTCTAAAGTCCCAAGAAACTCGCCGCAAGACTAAAAACAATGATGGACTAGAATTAGAACAAGACTAAAAAAACCAAGATCAAGAGTGAGTCAGTTAAAATAAGGCTAACACCAAAACAGTGACTGTCAAAGTGTTAATCTTGCTTTGATCATTGCTAATTATTACTCGTATTTTATGAAGATATCAACAAACTTAACTAAATTATTTAATCTAACACTAAAGTTCATTTAACTATGTCGGTATTTCCTATATTGAAAATTAATATTAATATAAAAGTATTTATGCCGTATCGATATTTTCTATTATTGCAATATGTAATATTTGACAGTCTCTATTTTGTCCATTAACTGAAGAGAAAATAAAAATTAGCTGTCATATCCACAATAATAACTGTTAGGTTTTGTTTCTTCTTTAATGGGAAAACATTTTAAATGGAACGCTAGCAGAACTAAAAGCATCGCCGACTACGCTATTCAACAAAAGAAAGGAAACTCCGAAAACAAATACTTTTACCCTTCGCCTAAAATCCTATCTAAACATAATTCTACTTCTGTGAAACCTTTGTACATTACGAATTTTTATATAGCTCATGGAAAGTGTTTTGTCAATTGGTTATCAAAATCATGAAAACAAATATGTAAAGTAATTTATTTACTATTAATAATACAAGAAAAAAATATATTTAATTTTCAACTACATCCTACCGCTTTTTTTTTGGTATTAATGTGATTGAATTTTATATTAAATATCAGATACCTAATGATGCACTGTCAAATAACATTTTAATTTGTTGAAATGCAGAGAGATCACTATGACTGACTACAAAGAAAAATTATAAGAAAATATCGGGCAATACACTTGATAAGTATTTTAAAATGAGGCTTATTTTTGCTTTTGACTGAAGGAACTCTATTGTGAAATACAACTGTTACGTAAAATGGAAATAGAAACTTTTACAGAGAAACACATTTTGTAATGCCAAAATTTTATATTGCATTTGTAATATAAATAACAATGAAGTGAAAAAAACATAAAGGCTGCTAGTGTATGCTCATTTTTCAAACGAGTTATAAGAGTTTCAGCATTCTCGTACCGACTACATATTATCGCCCACCACAGAACTTTTTTTTTTTTTGTAATAAGCCTAGTCTTTACTTCGACAAAAGTAGTAAATAATAGTGGTTATCATCTGTCTTTGTCGAGTAGCAAAAATTTTCCGACACATATGCGGTAGACGCAATCGAATTAAGAAATAATAAATATAAACGACCAACATTCCACGATAGTGCACAACAACTGTTATGTTATAATTGTACGGATTCCGTAAAGTGGTCACGAGAGTAAAGGTAATTTTAAATAAGGATGTCAGCACTAATAGTGGAAACTAACTCGTATATACTGCACGAGAAAGTACTAATCAAAAAGGGTTGCCTTTAAATATTGTAGGGCTAAGGTTTCTATGTATTTTGATTGCTCGTCAACTGTCCCTCGGGTGACGTTTCCGAAGTCGCCATAACTTTTCTCTCCCTTTCATTGGCTGATTTTTCGTTTCAAAGTTCTATCTACTAAGAACTTTGGTTTTATGTGATAGACCAAAGGGTAAACTATAATAAGTATAGTAAGTTTACGATTTCTTGTTGTATAAGTATGGCCGTTATCAAGGTAATCTTTCCGAAAAAAAAAAGTGATCGTAGAGACTCGGCAAAAACATAGGTACTTTATATTTAATTCGACTATTTATTATTTTAGGGAATCTAACAGAACATACCCACGAACGAAAACGATTACTATGGCTTAAGATTAAAACTTTTTTATCAGGAATATTTAATAATAAAAAAATTAGATNTATTTCATCTTCTAAAACTTTTTTATCAGGAATATTTAATAATAAAAAAATAAGATAAAAAACTTATTTTATATACATTATAATTTCAGGTTAAATTTACACAAAATCTATTTACCCAGAAGACATATTCGAATAATCTAATCGAAAATTATAAGGCTTAACGTAATAATNCTTTTTTATCAGGAATATTTAATAATAAAAAAATTAGATAAAAAACTTATTCATCATAATTTTAGGTTAAATTTACACAAAATCTATTTACCCAGAAGACATATTCGAATAATCTAATCGAAAATTATAAGGCTTAACGTAATAATCATTATATATTAAATGATGATATTACTCAAAACATGATGTTCTTTTATAAAATTTTTCATGCTTGGATGTAAAATAAAATACCTACGTGTCCAAAAAAGATTGATGCCACTAAAACACATTTGTAATATTCTACATATTACTCAACAGCAGTTTTCATTCTGTTTTTTGACAGTTTTTCATAAAATGAGTAGTGAAATAGTTTTAGTTTCTAACTTTGTATCTTCAAAACGTATTATATTTCTGATACATTCATCAGACCCAATGTTAAATGTAAAATTAATGGAACTATTCATTTTAATATTAAAAAAATATATGAAAATTGCTGATTTAAATGTATACACTTTTATGTGTTATGTAATATTGATGTTGGAATTTGCAAACTATGTAAATCTTAATAACTAGAAAATTATGATAAATCTCTCCGCAGTTAAATGAAGCGAGAACAGTGTAAAGCTGTCGCCTTCTTGTAATTTGATTCCTACACTGTTCACTTTAGATGAGATTGATTTAAACCGATTAATAGTAAGTAGGTGAAAATATGTATAAAAGTGTAAAATTTCAACTATAATCCTTTGTCTTTTGTTTCAACTAAACTTAATGGTGTTTCCTCGTTTCAACTACGCCGTTGTTATTTTAAGTCATTAATAATATTTTCCATGAAAAAAACACACTTATAATATTCAAACGTCCCGTGACAGATTTTAATGGTGTACACCAGGGCTGATGATAATGATTTTATAATTAAACGAGGGGACAAGAGCATACAGCGATAACGACTTCACTCCGCCAGCTTTTTTTTTTAGATTATTTCTTTCACTCGGTATACTCGCACAGTTCTAAATTTAAGAAAAGAAAAAGTAATCTTGAAACCTACGACGTGTCGTTCTCCACTGCTGCTCGTTTGTCAAACAAATCGTTAGGACCACCTCTAACCTCTTCTCCTCTACGGTTTGTCACTCATTCGTTTATATATATATATATCCCTTCCGCAGATTGTATTAAAACATAAAAGTGTGATAGAGACCTCCGTGGTCGCACGATATGCTTTCCAAATAACGCTGTTGCATTGGCGATGGCAACGGGTCCATTAGTTATATGACCGCGGGACGAGGGACATTCTCGGTTAATTGATGTAAAAATCGTCCAGGCCATTTGCCCGGAAATGTCTTGCTCATAGACCCCTCTGCTCTGAAATAACACTCGTGAATCATAATTAAACTGCTACGCCACCATTTATAATATTGGTTTGTTTCGGTGTTATAAAAATATTTCATGGAGTAATAACATCCACGGGCAGTGTTAAAAAGGGTCATCGGCCATTCGTAGTAAAACAGGACTTAACCCCCAACTTCCGGTATTGTCCAAACGAGTTGGGATATTATTCAATATTCTATTTCTTTTATTGGTGAACTCAATTGTCTTAAGTTGCCACGAATCTTTATTATGTACCATTGCTAATTAGTATATTACACTTGCAAATGTAAATTCGATTTATTGGCAGAACACTACCGAGTCAAATGAAACTTAACCATTAATCAAAATAAACAAAGACGCAAGTATTTCTTTTTTATTAATATTTACCTTCTATGTGTTGCATGTATCTGAAAAATTGACAGAGTCCAAAAACCTGATAATGAGAAAAGTTTGTTTTTAATGATCACAAAGCTAAGCTGTCAACTGACGTTTCTCGATATTATATTATGTCGACGAGGCGTGTTCCTCAAAATCATAGGGTATAGGGTGACTATTTAAGTAGATATAAAGTTTTAAACGATTTCTTTGTCTGACCTATTATGTATCTATATATTCTCAACTCAAATTAACATTTTTGTTAGATATCAATTCCATAAAAAAATACTCAATTTTAATTCGGAAAATAGTAGAAAGTTATGTTTAAGGCGAAGAATGTTCAAAAAGTAAGAACAATAAAAACAATAGTCCACTAAGATGAAGAGGTCACAATTAAAAACAAGTAAAGGTGCAGGTGACAGGGATATAACAAAATAATATTTCGTTTTCTGATTCGCCCTCGAGCCTCTCTGTCGACAATAGTACTTTTGTTTTATTCATTTGACTCATTGTTGGCATATTTTTCTCGTTTTTTAAGCTTAAAACAATTATTTTTATTTCAATGCTGCGAAGAGGTAAATAATTAAAAGTAATAAAACAAACTATTGCATAAAGATTGTTTTTCGTCTGAATAAAAACGGTATATGAAAAAATATTTCACTGGAGGTTCTCTCAAAAAGAAAAATCGTTCGTTATTAGAATGTAGGTTTTTTGTTTTATTTAACACTAAAATGTTATTTAGTTGTTCAACATTTACTCTGAATAATTAGAACACAACCGACATAAACGTTTTTGTTATTTTTTCATCATTATTACATATCAATCATTAATGATTTATCCATTTTAATTGATCCTACCAAAATAATTTTCAAACGTTCGTTTTATTTCATATGCACTGCAACATTCACCAACGTCCCTTTTATTATTTTGATTTCACAAAATACGGTGTAGAAAACATGGAAGTTTAATCGAAGTTCATGCAAAGCAACCGAAGTTTACTTTTTACGTAGCTCCGCGTTATTCAACACTCGGCTGGTGAAAATTAATT